ATAATGTGTCGTACGAACATTCCTCGTCATAATAACAATCATTGTAGTATTTGCTTCGTTCTCAAAACACCCAAAACAGTAATAATGTGTCGTACGAACATTCCTCGTCATAATAACAATCATTGTAGTATTTGCTTCGTTCTCAAAACACCCAAAACAGTTATAATGTGTCGTACGAACATTCCTCGTCATAATAACAATCATTGTAGTATTTGCTTCGTTCTCAAAACACCCAAAACAGTAATAATGTGTCGTACGAACATTCCTCGTCATAATAACAATCATTGTAGTATTTGCTTCGTTCTCAAAACACCCAAAACAGTAATAATGTGTCGTACGAACATTCCCCGTTGTAAGAACAATCATTGTAGTATTTCACATTCACATTCCAAAAGTTAAGTCATCCCCTCCGAATACAATTTATCATAGATTTTAATGAAACTTTGCATACTTACATTTTAAGTTATGTTATGGACATTTCAAAAATGCAAAAAAAGGGGGGCACAGTATTTGGTTAAGCACTACATGACGTCAAAAATACGCCATTTTGACGCCGCGCGAAAGAACGATTATATGATTATCAGTGTTTTAAACAAGAAGAATAGACATAAAATTGCATTCTTTGTGCATTTGTGTCGATACAAATGGCCTGTTAATTTATTTTACGGGGTCAATAAGATTCTTACAGGCTCAAAATACAATTTTGTACCTAAACTATTAGGAAGAGTTTCTCAATTTCATAAACTTCAGTTATATAACAAAATTATCAACCACAAAATTATCATTTCCCTGGCTCGGATCCCTGCCATTAATTATTGTCTCTCTAAAAGGACATTGTCACTAACCCAGGGCCTAAAACAAGCAACCAGGATTTGTTTGACAATTAACCGTTATGTTTCAGCCAATTAGAGGCCGAGATTAGCGACGAAATCAATCGAGCAAAACGTAAACATTATGGCGTTCGTCGCAAAATGTTCTCTTACCATTCAAAATATAATTGTTTCTTACACTTATAGCGGAGCTCCCGCGCGGGCCGAAGGCCCGCGCGCAGCGGAGCACCATAACTAAGGAAAAATGGTAAACCCATGGGGATGAGTTTTGATCAACCGACACAGGAAGCCC